CTTCTAAAGTCAATAATGAGTATAATGTTAAATTAAAATGTTGAAAATTTTGGAATAAACTGACTAGACTTAGCCGGGTAAAAATCAGATCCTTGTCCTTCACTTTGTTTTGTACAAGGGTCTGGACTCGCAGCTATAGAGAAGCGATTCTTGCTGGAGGCGTGGCCTCTGCTGAAGTCTAAAATGATTGGATTGGTTGGCCACGACGGATGTTGCTGTGAAAGAGGCTAAGCTAAGAAGCTAACAAGAAATCGCGTGTGCTGTAAAAATACCCTACTGAGAGGAGAGAAGTACCGACCTGACCGAGACAACTAAATGAGAGCTGCTACTTTGTCAGACAAATTTAATTTAATTTAGAAGCCTTATCAACATTGACTGGCTTCATTCATTCCCTTCACTGCCATTGATAAAATAACTAGCAGACACTGCACAGAAAATCGACGTTGTTCAAAACTCTGCCTCCTGTTTGCTGATTGGCCCAGATAAAATAAACTACACGCAGACACTGCGCAGAAAATCGACGTTCTGTTCTCTGATTGGCCCGGATGAAAATTCTCCCAAAGAAATCCTTGTCTATGGGAGAAATTCTAGACGTGGCAGTGAAGGGAAACAACTACACAGGTGTGATGGAGTGAGTTCAATCCAATGGGATGTCAGAATGGTATATACTGTATTTACACTTTTCACACTTATATTTACACTTCTCATCAACCACAATCAAATTCACTCCATCCATGGGCTCCATGTGTCTGGATAGATTTATATTTATTAATTTTTTTTCTGAACAATGAAAAGATGGAATAAAAACAAGTCAAAGTTAAACAGAAATGAAATACTTTTTGCATTTTTAAAAGGTAAGGAGTAGAAAGTACAGATAACTGAATTAAAATGTAAGAAGTAGAAGTAAAAAGTAGTCTGAAAAATAATTACTCCACTAAAGTATAAATAACCAAAATTACTGCTTAAGTAAAGTAACAAAGTATTTTTACTTAGTTACTTGACACCTCTGAACCTTTCTCAACTGTCTTAGATTTCTGATTTGACTTCTTTTGCTCTCACGCTTATTATTCCATGTGTTTTTTAATTTTACCAGGAATACCTGTGTCCACTGAAGGGGTCGGTGTAGAGGAGCATGTTGTGACGCCATGTCTCTGGAGATGGAAAAAACCATCACCAAGCTGATGTACGACTTCCAGAGGAACTCCACCTCTGATGATGATTCTGGGTGTGCGCTGGAGGAGTACGCCTGGGTCCCCCCTGGCCTCAGTCCTGAGCAGGTACGACACAATCTCACTGATATTCAAACCGCATCATCAACACTTATCACGTTATCTGTTAGTTATTTTCCTTCAGACCACATCTAATTGAACCCAGGAGGGAAAAGAAATCTGATCCTGTGGACAATCTGCAGAGCTTTTTGATTAATGAGATGAACAATTTATCATTCTGTGGTGAGAAAGAGGACCACTTTAACTCCCATGCTTTGGCTCTTAGTTTTTGGACTGGAATGAGTGGAAAGAAAAGGGCAGAGCTGACGAGCTGAACAAATCACAGAGACTTTAGCTGTCAGGCACTTCCTGGAAAAGTAGTTGTAGGAACATTTTTCAGCTGTCAGACTTAAAGCTGATGTCAAACCAAATTTAGAGTTCAACAGACCCAACCCAAATCATAAAAAAAACACTGATTAAAATGTGTCAAAGTACAAAATACTTTGTTGCTTTACTTAAGTTGAATTTCTGGTTAACTTTACTTTACTTTTAGTGGAGTAATTCTTTTTCAGACAACATTTTTCTTCTACTCCTTACATTTTAAAAATAGCCTCATTACCCCTATTTCATTTCTGCTAATTTTTGTACCTGCTCGTCATCGTTCAAAATAAACAAACAAATAAATAAATAAATAAAACATTTCCAGTCATAGGGCACCTCCTGGATAGACTGAGTTTAATTGTGGTTGAATGATAGATATAAATATATATACATTTAGACACCCTTTGTACACATCACACCTGCACATGACATAAATCACATCACACTCCAGCAGGATATATCAGACACACTGTATGTAACCTAGTATGAAGTTAACACATATATAGATACGTATACATAGAGAGATATAGATATAGATATAGATATAGATGTAGATATAGATGTAGATATAGATATAGCTATAGATACAGTATATACATAGCTATAGACATAGACTTAGATATATGCAGAGTCAGATACAGATGTAGACATACAAACATATAGACATAGCTATATTATGTCCTTAGAAAAATGTTTTTTGGGGAGGTCACCTGCCAAGAAATTGCGTTTTGGAAATTCTAGCCATTCGCTTTTACTCAATACTTTTACTTTTAATGTAAGTGCACTGTACATTAGAAATTTACTATTGATACTTATGTAGGCTATGTCAGACACTTTAACACTTTTACTTAAGTAATATTTTAAAGGATACGTTAGCTTTTCCCAATGTAACGTTATGGAAAGATACTTGTACTTTAAGTCAAGAATCAGTTTGAGGTACTTTGAAGACTGAACTGATCAGATGGTTGATCTGTTTGTAGAACAAATGTGTAGTGATGAAAACATTGATACATTTTCAAGTTTCCTTCCTTTTTTATGAGTTTATAATTAATTGCTTGTGAGTTCTTTACAAATTAAAATGCAAAAACATTTTTACATCCTTCCTAACTTCTTGTCAGAGAAGTAAAACGTTTTATAACTGAATGCAGGTTATTAAATTTACAGCTATGGTGATTAAACTTTTGGTACATTCAATTTGTTCTATATTTCTGTATACTTGCACATTTAAACCCAGTGGACATAAAGTAATTAGAGTCAGTGAACATTTGAATCTAATTAAAAACAGGGTGCAGGTTTCTTTTTTATGAGTTTGCAGATTTTATAATTCCCAGTGAGGCATATATGCCATTTAAATGCTTTTTAATTGCTTGCAAGACCAAACTAATGGAATCAGGCATTTTTTTAATTTTTCATTTGTCTTTTTTTTATTTTCGCTTGTTGTTTTTAACCCCTCCTGACACAAGATCAGCCTTTTAACTGTATCGACTGTAAACACAATTGTCTTTATTTAGAAAGAGAAATGCTCTAATGCAACAGGCCTCCTAGAGCTCTGTTAACCGATGACAGGAAGAGCTGATAACAGTCATTTTCTTCAGTCAACCATCTTGACAGGATGCTGAAAGAAACCCACAGCCTCTGTCATCCAGCAGGAGGTGCAATCAATTGTGGCTGCCTTTTTCCCCTCTTTTAATGCACTTGAATGTAATTATTTTTAAGCCTGTCACTTTTGTTGTGTTTTTCTTTTTTTCTGCACAATGTCATTAAAATGGGAAATGATCTTTTCATGCGCAGAGTCACATTGAGCTGTCAGATTTTAAACATTTCCCAACTTGACTTCATTCACTCTGTCATTAGGATTTAGCTGATTGTCTTGTTGAAATGTTTTGTTTCCTTTCTACATTTGTCTAACTTCTGTTCGATATTTATGTTAAAAAAGACTTGTTAACTAGAAATGCCTTCTTAAAGCACCTCAGTGTTTTAAGGACCTGATTCCTACAAAAACCAAAGAAGCTTAAAGTCCCATCTTTTAACATTATGTCAACATGAGGAGCTCTGTATCTTGTCATTTAAATAAATTTTTGCTTTGTTGCGATAATGATTTAATTGTGTCATCATCTCAAAATGACAAGGCTGCCTTTCTGGAGATAATGGGTTAATAGGCCGATATTTCGTTATTTTGACCTAGAAAAGTAGATTTTCTCACAATAACAGGAAATTATTTTGAAAATTCTGTCATGTCGAGCTGCAAATGTCACTTCAGTGAACATTCAGCAAACAGGGTTCCACATGCATGATTTGACTTACTGTTGAGGATCATCCACAAGTGTCAATACAGCCACACTGAATGATGAAACTGGGTGTAACACAAGAACCACTCCACTCAGCTTTACAGCAAAATCATCTCCTGATCACCAGAAAATGAGAGACGGACTCCTTCTGATAGAGAAATAAAACCAGTTTGGTTTTCTGGAGAGAAAAAACAATCTTTAAAGCATCCCATCATATAGGGTATTTTGTTGATTTCACAAAAAAAAAAAAAAAAAAACTGATAGTTCAGATTTTTTTGAAATAGGGCTCTGATGAAAGGTCATATCAAACAATATCTTACCTGTTGCAGATAACTCACTTTCACGAAACTGATGAGCAAACAGCTATTTTTAAACTATTCCTACCATTAAAATTAATTTTATATTTAATTGCGAGAACAAATAGTGGCAGTGGCAGCTAGCTGTAGCGCTTCAGGACCAGCATAATGCACTTCCAGCAGGAACGTTAAAGCTTCATGCCGGAATAACATGTAATGCAAAATTAATAAAGATTAACGGCTTTATGGCTGCAAACAACTTTGTGCTCATGTATTGCTCTGACTAACCATAAACTCATCAATTCAGTCTGAATCAAACTGATTTTTTCTTCAAACTGAAGTCATAAAATAATCTGCAACAGGTAAAGTGAAGTATCAATTATTCATAACATTTTCACAGAAAGCATTTCAACATGAATCCCTTCAGTGCTGGGAATGTTAACACTTTATTATCGTGTGAACACAGACAGGGCTTAACAGTGACAATTATTTTATCGTGCGTCAACACAGTTAGTTTTTTCTTTATTCTTAAGGCCAAACACATACACACAGAGACAAATACAGTGCTCACCAAGGGGGTGGGATCTTGATCACTATTGGCTTTAGATGATCATCATCATGCGTCTCAACTAATGAGAGTCTTTGTTTTAAAGAGTTGCTGCTTTGCACCCAAATCACAAAATGAGCAGCAAAGACAAAATCATGGAGAAAAGCATCAGACTTTTAAATGGCCATTTTTATTTTAAAATTCGTCCTGACAGTGGGCTGGACAGAAGTCAAATTATCTGTAAGCACTGCAATCTTTGAGTTGTAACTTAATTTTATGCATATTAACCACTTATCTTAAACATAATCTTAAACAGATTAATACCAATAAAAAAAATTTATCTTTGTCCAGCTCTAATATACTTATGTGAATACAGCTCTTTATCTCCACCAGGTTTTGAAACTTGACCTAGACGTGTCATTTTTGTTGGATCTTGGTAACAGACACAAACTGAATTTTCCCTTTGATATCAAAAAAGTATTTTTGAATTTGAATTGAATTGAAACATAACATGTCCTGAATCTTTGCAAATGTTTGTGCATGAACACAATGACATTCCATCTAATAGCATGCAGGACGCAATGAAGAATTAAATGCTAATAAAAACCAAATCGGTCTTCCTTTCTTTTCTTTTTGGTCCACATACATTTTCATCAATGTTCTTTGAGAACATAAGCACTTTTGAACTCTGATTATCCGTAAGACTTAAATATTCTCCGCTGTAACAATTACTTTGCCAATGTGAGCACTTCTACAAATTAGCTATTTTTTGAAAATAGCAGCTAGAGCAGTATATGCACAAGTCTTTTTACAGTACGACAATAAATATTCATTGCAATACTTGTACTTGTCTTTGAAATCGTGTTTCTTATTTCGAACTCATTTGAAGAGGCAGTCAAAATCACTGCACTGAATGAAGTAAAACAAGTGAAATCGAAGGGCGGAGAGGCACTTTCTTTCTTCTCACTTTCCGCCCGACTGATTATGTCAACTGAATTGGAAAAACTTGACTGAACACGGACAATTTTTTTATTTTATTTTATTTATTTATTTATTTATTTTGCTTCAGAGATTAATTTGGGGAAAGTCAGACAAGCAACATGATTGCTTTCCTTCCAGTGAATGTTACCCCCTCACATTCACCAATCAGGGTTGTTGTTGTTGTTGTTTTTCTTCTTCTTCCAACAGCCAATATGTAAATACAAGGAGAGGTTCAGGTTGCGGATATGGAGCTCTGCTGCATCGTGAATTTTAATTGCAGTGAGGGTGTGGATAACTGAGGAGTATTTTTTAAAGAAGTGTGAATATTACTTGTTAAAATGTTAAATACCCTCATTCTGCTCAAGGCGGTGTCTGCAGTAGCAGCAGCAGAGAGCAGGTCAGTTTCAATTCAAGACACTGACATCCAAGGGCAACTGACGGCAGCACGTAAACAAGTCCTATTGACATGAGGAGCAGGAGAAATTAACTCAAAAGTAATTCAAGATTCATTTGTAAGAGTTTGTTACATGAATTAGTGAAATAAGAAAGAATATGTTAAGTAGACCTAATTAATTCTCATGTGATGCACTCATACTGATTGTGATAAAACTGCACCAGCTTTACATTTCACATGCAGTATACTGTAAAGATACACTGCTTTAGTCTAAAACTCTGTCATGAAAGGATGCAGGTAAAATTCAAGGGATGCTGGGACTTCAATTTATTTTACAGTGGAGCGCATAACTAGTTATTTAAGTGCGGTTTGCAGAGCTGAACCTTTACAGAACGATCGCTCCACAGTTTTGTTTTGCAGCTTTATTGTTTTTGCTTTTCTTTCATACTGAAATGAATAGTTCAGATCTTTTGAAGTGAGGTTATGCGGAAAGGTTATGAACATTTAAGATCTGATTGGTTGCAGCTCTTTGTGTGACCACAGTTTGGG